TTTTTTTTTAAACTAATGGAAAAGGAAAGAGATAGGCATCGACCATTGAGTGTTTTACCATTGAAATAAACATATCACCTGGTTTTACCTCGTAATCGATATTTTCTCGAAGACTACAAGCAAAATTTTACGAATAAAGCACCCCTGGGCATTTCTACTGGCTAGGTGTCGACATGCGAGATGATGTTTTGCGTACTTGGAAGTTGGCGTGATTGTATGACTAAATTCTTTCTATAAGCTCTAGAGTCAATAAAAAATTGTGCCGCAATCCACAGCAAAAATTCAGCTAAACATTTGGTGGAGTTTGATATGTCTGCTGGTCTCATATGACAGCTAACGACGAAATAACAACTAAGATCTTTACTTTAGAAGAAAAAGGTAAGTTTGGTGTGAAGTGATTGCCATTTTCGCAATCAAGAACTTAGAAACCCTGAGTAGGACTTTTCATCTTGATTCGATAAGTAATAACATTGAACTTCCATTTCGATTTGTTCCAAAATTATGTTCCATCCTTGGCATGCGCATTCCAGCAACGGAAGGATCTGACTCCTAAGAGGATCACGCGCCTTAGTACAGAATGTTATACGAGGAAAGAGTTGAACATAATATTTGTTTTTACCTCACTGAATCTGTTCTCATGAGAACACTTAATTTCGGTTGCTAGTATAAAGATAGTCTACTGAGGTATCACGAATCGTAATACTGCACATGGCGCTGTCCATCTCTCTGTGGTTTCTATTGCGTACATAGTGAAATCTCAGATACTACCAGGCGAGACGGACCGGCAGTTTCCGGGTAAATCTGAGAATATATATATATATATATATATATATATATATTTTAATATACTGGTATTTTTCAGTATGGTATTGCTCTATACCGCAAGATCCTTTAAATGCAATCATCACTTTTGAGTTGAAAATCAGCACGGCTCTTCACGGCTTTGCTTTGGATAATCTTTAGATACGGACATCTTGTATTAGTGTATATAAGTTTTACTCAACTACTTTCTAGTATTCTTCTCAGTTCCACCTAATAGTACTAGTACTGTACAATCTTGATTCAAACTCGCACTCGAAATACGCCCATTACGATGCATCGTGATGCCAAAAGAAGTGAAGAAGTCTCAATCACTCATATCCGCCACTTCTTCACCAGGTTTGGATGGAGTCTCAGGCGTTGAGCGTTGAGGCATTTTTTTAGCTGTTTTGACGCTTTTGTCCGTAAAAGTAGCAAAAATGTGAAAAGTCTGAACGCTGAGAATGAACTGTTGTTTTGAGAAAGTTTGTAGAACGAGTTTTACACAAACATAAGTATGGGATTGTTAAATATTGTGAGACACCATTGTCAACGCAAGCAGCAAATATCGAAGATACTAGAGAGAAAATTTTTTCTTTGATTACAGAGACGTACTCATACTGTGTCACCATGGTTTTTTGATTATATATTCTGTATATCATTTCTTGCAAAACAGATGAAAAGAGAACAAAACTGCTGATCTGCGAAGTGGTGCTGAGTATGCAAAGTTTCAGAGTATGTTAAAGGTAGCGACCAACTATTTGGCTAAGAATTCGCACGAAGCATGCCTAGGGCCTTACGCTCTTTGTTGAATGCAGTGTTTACAAGTCATTATCTCTTACACTTCGGCAAATGAAAACGAGAAGATAAATATTTGTAATGTGTAACTATCAAATTCGAATAATGGTTGATATACCATTATCCATTCTTTTAAAAACATGGAATTTTTTCTGTATCTATGTCCTCTGTGTCCCCAAAAAAGTAGGAGAGACGGACAACACATCCACACATCTGCGTTATTACGGAATGTTCAAATTAAGGATAAAGAATTGGCACTAAGAATTCAAAGTAAACAAACGTTACATATTTTTCTACATTAACTAAAATAAGTCATCAAAACACCATGGCTGCACTCGGTGATTATAAATGCCTGTGTACTTGTACATGTCAGGGATCTATGCAGAACGTAAGTGTATGGCATCGTTTTATTGCAATCAATTGTTAACTTTGGTACACATTGATTTTTTTGGTGAGTAAACAAATCTACACTTTTTATTAGACGCCATGGGTGCAGTGAAATCAAAAGTTGACGTGGAAACGATTCATAAGGAAGTTAGTACTTTTTGCAACATCTCGCTGTACGTGCTCAGCTTTTTAACAATGTCTGGTTTGTTAGGTAAAATCAGTACCTATTATGATCTACACCAAAGACGGATGTGGCTTTTGTGCGAGAGCAAAAGATTTGATGAACACTGAAAAAATCAGGTTAGAGCAAAAATTTATGGAAGTTATTTGTGATTTGGAAACGCCTATTCAATGTAATTTAGATACGAGGAATGTAATGTGGATCGCATCAGAGAGAAGGATCCTGATAAATATAAGCCGCGAGTTAATGGCCTTGTCTATATGACTCACCAGACTACAATGCCGCAGGTAAGCATATAGATATGAATTTGAATGGGAAATCTTGTCCATTTATCAGGGAGGTCAATAACGGTTTGATAACTCTTATTACCGATG